CTACTAAGTTAGATGAAGCACAATTGTGAGTTCATCCCATCAAATACTGCTTCCTTGTAACCCTAAAGTGCTGATTTGAAGATCGGCTTTGATATAATAACCTCTGTCTTGGGTACTATTTTCCTAAGATTGGTTTGATGCCTGTTCAAAAAAAAAAATCTCAAAATTTATGAGAGTCCTATGCTATATATTTGCATATATATATTGACATAAATTCCACTCCCATCACTTTAAAGTAAGTTTGGCATCATTCACATGTACTCATCAAAGAACTTGTTCATTCACTGTCACTGAAACTCTACCGCAAAAGTTAAAACATCTGTACGGTTTTCTGAATTCACCACTTTTATGTGTTGAATATGGAATCATTTAACTTTCTTTCTTTTTTAAGAGGTTTTTGCTTTAGAGAACGTGCACTCTCCTGAAAGAGAGAGAGAGAGACAGAGAGACAGACAGTGAGAGGGAAGTAAGAAATTACCCCTTGGAGGGATGGCCATGACATAATCCCATCTCCTCTATTCTCCTCCTGGGATCTTGGGCATGCATGTACATGCTCCTGGTATTATTTTCAATTCACTGGGTCCAAGACCCAAACGATGGTCGGCCATGTGGGAGTCCAGTAATATAACCACTAGGCAATCTGCTGGCCCCAAGTTTTTGTTGAAGATTTTTGCCACAGGGCACATGTACTCACTGGAGGAGAAAGAGACAGAGAAAGACAGTGAGAGGAAAAGTGAAAAATCATCCCCCAGGGACAATGGCCATGCCACAATCCCTTCTCCATTTTCCTCTTGGTATTTTGGGCCCACATATGCACATGTTGCCAGGTCTGAACTTAAACCACAGTGGGTCATGTGGGAGTCCAGGTCTTAACCACCATATCACCTTCTGGCCCCTCATTTAATGTGTTTATTCACTGTTTTCTAAGGCCTCCAATATCTTACCTGCCATGAACTGGCATCTTCAGCTTGGGCTGTTTCTTTGAGTAAGTAAATGAGAAGATGTATGTGGGACTGTTTCAGGACATGGGCTTTGACAGTAAGACCTACAGCTCAAATTCTGGCTCTGCTTCTAGCATGTTCTACAATCTTGAAAAAATTTAACCTTGTGGGGGATGGCCATGCCATCTCTTACTGCAACCTGCCTTATAGCGTTGTCTTGTTTCTATCATGGAAACTATGAGACATGGAGTCCTAAGAATTGTTACTGTCAAGTCACTGGGCTGGGATTCCAACCAGAATCTAGCTCCCTGGGTACAGGACTTAATCACTGTGCTACAGGCCCAGCCTGAACTTGAACTTGCATTTTTTTAGGCTTGTTTAAAACAATAGCTAACACCGCTTGCATACTTAGCATTTCAAATAATTCTTTTAAACGTGTCCAACATGTTCCTATTTAATCTTTTAACAACTGTGAGTTATAGCTATTAACATCCCAGTCTTATAAATAAGAAAGCTAGACACACAGACATAAAACAACTTACACAGTGTCAAATATATAGAAAGTGTAATAGAATATATGTAAGTCCAGGCCTCCTCTTTTATCTCTTATGCCAACATTCCTCTTGCTGCATCTGTGTCAATAAATCAAATTTTATCCTAAATATTGTGAATGTTCCCTAATGAATCCTTCAAGCTGAAAAGCAGGAGTGAGTAATTAGACAAAAGTCCACAAAAGAGAAAAAGACTACAGGACCAGAGAGGCAGGAAGAAAACCAAGAAAGAACCAAATATTCTGAATGCAAAATAGAATTAAGTACCCAAAGATAATAGTAATAATAATTGTCAAGAAGGATGGAATAATACTCCAATAACATACTATTGCTAGATCAAATAACATAAGAGTTGAAGTAAATTAGATTTATTGATTAAACTTGCTGCTAAAACAAAAACATTAAAAATTCAAAGTAAGTAAATGAGTAACCAGTTGTTAGTGTCTTAAACGAAGGTATTCTTAATAAAAAGGAGAGAAGAGAGGAAGAAAAATAGTAATTTTCTGAATAATGATTGGAAAGTGAGAAAGTACATAACCAATGTAGATTCTTTATTCAACCGTATTTATTTAAAGAGAAACCTATGGTGGGATGGGAGGGGGCAATTAGAAGAGGAGTGAAGTTAAAAGGGATGGATGGAGACACATGGGGGTGTTATGTCATGAAGGAGCCACATTTTAAGTAGGAGTGGTTGTCCATTGCAAGGAGGTAACTAATGGAATGACCTCAGTGTGCTCAGCTGGCAGGGTGCAGGAGCCGGAGGGAAACTGTGTTGGGAGCACTTCAACATGTCGGACATACAAGAAGTCACTAATCAACCCTTGGATGTGAACCTTCATGAGAAGCAGAGGTCTGCATGAGAGACAAAAGGGGCCTCAGCAGTGAATTCGAGCATCTCCAAGTTACTACTGAAGCCATTGTACCTTCTGCCTTGAGCAAACAGCTGTGATGAGATAAAGATACTGGCATCATCATGTAAAATAAGCAAAGACCGGGAAAGAGAGATTTTGAAGATTCTGCAGAAAGTCTGACTCAGGTTCATTGCCTGAGATCAATTGATAACTTATTTGTGGTTGTTCACGAGTGCAAAGATTCCCAGATTGAAAAAAAAAGAAAGAAAAGAAAAAAGAAAAAGAAAAAAGGAAGAAGTTATAAAGGATTTTGAAGAGTAGGTTGGAAAACTCCTATGGTAAGACCCTCTAAAAGTATGGAAAATTACATGCCAATTTCAAGGGAAATAAGCACAAAAAGTTAAATCAGAATTCAAGTAAAGAGAAAAGTGAAAATGGACAAGGAAACCAATTATATGAGAAATATATTAGAAGAGAGTTCACTAACGATTCTTTAGAGTCACATAGTTTTGACTATTATAAAAACCCAGCCATTAAAGGAGGAGGCATCAACTTCAGTAGGTGATGACTTGGCATCTTGTGAAGATGAGGCTGATGAAAACTCAAAAGAAGAAATAGCTTTGAGTGATAAAAATGTAGATTCACATGCAACAGGGCAGAAAGAAACACTGCTTCATCTCTAATGAGGCCACAAGAGAATTTGGAGGTGCTGTTCAGGATTACTTTAAGTGGAAGCCTGATACAACCAACTTCACCGATGTGGAAGTTCTTTTAAATATCCTCAATAAAGAAATCACTGTGAGCTTTACTATGACTGAAGACAATTTCCTATGAAGAAATATCACACATTTTGTACTCAGACTCTCAGGTCAGCTCTTTGCTATAGGATGCTCAGTCTCTGTGCTTCTCAACCTACTGATATAATAGTCAACCCAGTGTGTGACTGGGGCGATACCAATAGAGCGGATGCAGGATGGTCTATTACCATATTGCCAATGATAATAACTTACTGGCTATGAATTGAGCAGCAAACAGCATCTCGTCTTTATTGACCAAGAATCAAATTAGAGAAGGCAAACCCTCCTAGGACTTGCCCATAGATGCTGTTCTATGGGATATTTGCAATCTGCCATTTAGAAATAACTCTGTGGATATTACTGTAACAGATACGTCATTTGGAAAAGGATGGATTCCAAGAAGAGAAGCAGGAACCTTTATCCAGCATCCAGGAGACATGAATTGTGTCAGCAGACCTGGAAAAGATCTAGCTGCAATCTGCCATTGAGAAATATCTCTGTGGATACTACTGTAACAGATATGTCATTCAGAAAAGGATGGACTCCAAGAAGAGAATCAGGAACCTTTATACAGCATCCAGGAGCTACACATGAACTGTGTCGGTAGACCTGGGGAAGATCTAGCTGTCCTACTTAGAACAACAAATGCTTTACCAAAGCATTATCTGGAAAAGGACATATCTGGTAAAAGGCATACAGTCTGGGTAAACAGAGAGGGTCTTCATGCTTCAGTTTATCTTCTGAAATGCCCATCTCAAGCTTTTGCATGTCCTTTAGAAGACAGAGAAATAGGAACTCCTTGGTAATGCAAAGAATGAGGATGATTGATAATATTTGTACTCCCCCAAACTGGAAATATCAGCATGAAGAACTTGCTTTTTGCAAAAATAGTATTAACAAAAGTGCAGTATGTACAGTTTTAAACCACTTCAAAGCTCTTCACCCTGATTAGCAAAAGGTTTGAAAGTAATGAAATGAAATCTAAGTCTTATAAGAAAGGAGAGTTTTTCCTTGGAGCTGTTTTGAAGGGGTAGTTGAACAATATTAGTACTTTTCTTAAAATGCTTTAAAAATGCTTAGTGAAAAACTTACTAAAATGCTCCAGAATTTGGGTTTAGAATATCTTATTTTCACACTTTACATTCTTTTTTTAGAAAAATTGTGGTAAGTAGAAAGCTGCCCTGGCCTCAAGAAAAGGCAGAGGTCATAACCACAGTGTTTCAGGCCACATCTTGCTGTCTATGCAGCTTTGCTTCTCAGTTGCTCAAGTTCTCTTCCCCTCACCCTCAAAAACTGAAGCAGGATTACATTCTGTGCACAAATTTGTCCTGTGACAAGATAAACCTCACAAGACCTGTGGGAAAGTTTACCATCTGCCTGAAAACGTAAAATATGCCATATTTTATCCAGACTCAAACAGAACTAAAATAGAGGACTAGAATTTATCAAAGGGATTGCAATGATACTTTACTGTAAGTAATAATATAGGACGTTTCTATCTGAAAAGTAGTAGATACATTGGTAGATGAGGATAGGACCAACAAGCTAAATTAGAATTTTCATTGTTCTTATGGTACATACAGATGTGTTACTTTTCAAAGCGAAATATAACCCTGTTTAACCAGAAATCTCGAAACAACCCAGTAATCAAGGGGAATGGATTCAAGGACTATTCAAAAGTATCCTTAGCAGGAAAGATACCTATCTTTTCTGCTAGGACAAGAAGAAAAGAATCAGATGGAGGTGAAACTGATATATTTAAAAATCTGCTAGAAAGACTTCTGTTAGTAACTAGAAAAAAAAAAAGACTCCAGATATTTGTTTTAATTAAATTTTATTATTTAATATTCTGTTCTTGGTTACCATCGATATTTCTTTGTATGCTTGCTTGGTATGTTATGTGTTCAATCACCATCAGTTACAGTTCTTATTGTATTTGTTCTGGAAGTTTGTTTCCATGCTGTTACAATTCTAAGTGAATAAATTGATTTTCAAATTTAAGAAAGACCCCAAGAAGGCTAAGGATTCATGAGAAATGATATGTTTATTACCTCAGTTATATAATTATCACAAAATCAACAAGTTTTGTCATTTCTGTTTTTAGGTCTACCCAGATATTCTTCCTCGATCCTATACTCAGCCTCTTTTTATCATTGATTCATTTATCAGTTTCTGCTTTAAAAAAAGAACTACAGATTACATGGAATAACAACAGCAATGAAGGTAAGCAGATCATCAATCTAGAATAGTATGGAGCTGTGAACCTCATGGCTTTTCTTATTAACCTTGTTCCAAGTTTCCAGCTCAGGCAGGCATCTCACACAAACATGGAGAAGGTTTGGTGCAGTCTGCAGTGTCAACCGTGTGTGCCTCTAAATACACACATTTCCCCTGCAAATCCAGACTTGGGTTGGGTAAATTCCTAAGAAATTTAAAAAAAACACAATTCAGCGGACCGATCTAGTGTGTTTAAATTAAACAACATTATTTAAGAACTTACCATGTGACATTCATTAGATGGTTGTTCAGTGGGACACCCAGAGAGTGAGAACACTCTCTCTTTTCAAAGAAATAATGCATTTATATAGAGGTAAGAAGGACACATAAGGAATAAGCTGTATATAATGTGATCATAATTTATAAAAATACACTTATGTAGAGAAGAGGACAATAGTCTGGCTGGAAAATTATGGCAATAATATAAAAAAATGGGATATATAACCTGAGATATAAACGTGATTAAGTACAGATTGGCATGACAAAAACAGATCAACTATCTGTGTACAGCTGCAGTTGGAGAGGGATAGTTTACTTGTAAATACTTTAGATAAAAAAGTCAAAATTAATAGTGAAATTTAGAATGTTTTATACACACACACGTATATATGTAATATATCTGGACAATTTTGCTCCAATATGCACCTAAATTTGCAAAATCACCCCTCATAGAAATTCCGCAGGGGAGATGCTATTGAATACTCGAGTTGCAACTGCATATTCCAGGTGAATTGAGTTCTTAAATAGGGATCTAGATTAGAGAGAACATTTGAGGTCAAAATCAGCAGGACTACCTTTCGGGAACTTTAGAGCAAATCGGGTTTTGTAGTACGGTCTGAGAAAAGGTCAGGTGTGTCTGCTCAACTATTGCATACATAATGCATTCATTTCCAAGTGCCAAAGGAATTTAAAAGACAAAAAAGAATTCTGAACTTATATTAGGAAAGATAACCAAAATATTTTTGTCTATGTTTCATTGTCCAATTAAATATATACATGAGTGCTCTATGTGTCCAATGTTTACAAGATTTGAAGCATAGGTGAACTATCAAATACAAAATTTCAATGATTAAAATGATTACCATAAAAATAAGAATAGACTCACGAATTGTTGTAATAATACAGGCAACTTTAGGAAAATATACAAGTATGTTTACACATCAAATATTTACATGATTATAAACTATTTAAATAGAAATAAAGCATCTTCAAATATTTAAATATTAAAATTTTAGTACATGATAAATAGAACATTAAAATCTATAACAAAAGACTAATGAATAACTTGAATATACTATTTTAATTGATTACAAGTTGTAATATTGTGCTAAACAGATCAAATTATATCCATATGTGTACACATACATGCCTGCTTCAGCTTTTCCCTCATATCCCAAAATAAATTTCCATTGAATAAAGATCATGTTAGTTGAAATGTTAAACATTTGTTCACATAATAAAAGCAAATAATGTAAAAGACAAATAGCAAAAATATAATAAATAAATAAAATAAAATTGCCATACCTACCTAAAAGAAAGAATATAACTTTAATATATAAAGAATTTGGGGCCAGCAGGTAGTGTTTAAGATTCCCACATGGCCAATGGTGGTTCAAGTCCCGGACTCGGCGTCTTGAAACTCACACCAGATACATTGTGTGTGTGCCCAAAAATACCAAGAGGAGAAGGAGGAGAAGGAATTGCAGCATGCCTATCCCTTCTGGGGAATGATTTTTCAGTTTATTTCTCTGTTTCTTTCTGTCTTTCTGGTGAGTGCATGAGCCCTGTAACAAAAATCTCAAAAAAAAAAAAAAAAAAGAAGTCATATCAAGAAATAAAAGTTAAAATAATAAAATAATAAAAATATGTTATATAGTTATAGGAAAAACAGCTTAAGTAAATGTCAAAAGACTATAACTTAAAAGAACCAAATAAAAATAATCAGCTACCAAATTACTAAAACTTTGAAGCATTATGTAACATTGGCCCAGAGTAATGAAAAAGCTTAGTTTAGTTTGTTTAGTTTGTTTTTGCCATAGTTGTCTAATGCCATGTTCTGTAGACAATTTAAGAATATGTACAGATGTCCCTCTATGATGGTGTTATGTCCACATATTAAATTGAAAATGTCAAATGTATTTCATTCACCTACTCTTGGGTATATCATAGTTTAACCTAACTTACTTTAATGTGTGAAGAATACCTATATTAGCCTACAGTGGGCAAAATCATCTAATACAAAACCTACTTTATAATAAAATTATAAGGCCCAGTTACTACTGAATATGTATCATTTTCACCATTGTAAAATCAGAACTCTTAAGTAATAAATTGGGACCATCCATACTCAAAACCATAAAAACAAGAACAAACTCTTTTAAGAGTAGCAGGCCTGCATTTCTTCCAAATAAAAATACCAGAGATGTTCAAAAATTCATATATATATGATGTTCTTCCCTATATTGCATTTACCAAAATGATGCTCAAATTATCTAATAATAGAGGCATATATTACACAAATATGAAAAGATCTCATGATTTATAAAACTACTTACACCATGATACAAAATAACCTAAGCGAGAAATAAAATGGTCTAAACCATCCTAAGAAATCTTTTCTATTTCTTCCAGCTCTTTAAACAAAAGACAAGGAGACATTGAGAAAGAAATAAGGAATTGGATTCTATACTGGAAACTTACAGGTCAGGAGAAGGAGAGGAACCATCCTCCCACTTCCAGTCCTTGTTCTCCAGGTTATAAGAGAGACCAATCCAAGCGTGACTTACTGGTAATAACTTGGCAATAGTCTACATAAAGACAAAATACACCAAGATGATTCATTAATACTAAAAACGTATAAGACATAAAAATATAAAACTGTATCAGTGAGAAGTAAATAGTCATAAAAAGAATGCAACCTATACATGCTTGCTGATAAATGAAACATCAGAAAGAAGTTCAGTACTGAGCATCTGAAGGTGTTTGTGCATTTTTGGCACCATGAATTAAGTACAAAGAAGAATAAGGAGACAGCTAATTGAAAGTTTCATATTCAAGAGGATGCTACAGTAAAATGTGAATTCCTGTTTTTAACTTATTTTATCATTTATTCAACTCTGTGAGTATGTTTTGAGTTTACAATACATAATTGAACAAAAATGGCAAAAATCCCTGCTTTGAGGGATTTGGAGTAGATACAAATAAACAACAAGCGTGGACATCTTGTGGTATGTATGGTGATCCATGCTCTGAAAAGGCTTACAGCAGGGTATAAGGGAGTGAGAGGACAGAGCAGGGTGTCTGGGATCATACTAACATGAGTTGCAATTTTAACTAGGTTTGTCAGAGCAGGCATTATTAGGAAGATAATTATTGAAAAAGTACTTGAAGGAGGTGAAGTAGCAGATGATGGTTCTGAGTGATCACTGAATAGAGAATGAACAGAAAATGTGAAGGCCCCACAGAGAGGACATGCATAGTGTGTTGAGGAAAAGAGAACTGGGCTGGAGGGGTCAGCAGGTGGCATGGTGGTTTAGTCACTGGAGTCCCACATGGCCGACCACGGTTTGAGTCCCAGACCCAGTAGCTTGAAACCCACTAGGCACACATGAGTGTATGCTCAAAATCCCAAAAGAAGAATGGAGAAGAGATTGCAGCAAGGCCACGCTCCCCACCCGGGGAATGAATTCTCACTTTCTGTCTCAGTGTCTCTCTTTGTCTTTCCTGTAAGGTACACACTCTATAGCAAACATCTCTCTCAAAAAAAAAAATAAATAAATAGAAGAGCAACCAGCAGTTAGCGTAATGGCTATGTTGCTGGACTCCCATGTAGTCAATCACGGTTTGAGTCCTGGACCCGGTGGCTTAAACTCACACCGGGTGCATGTGCATGCGTGCCCAAGATCCCAATAGGAGAATGGAGGAGAAGGGATTGTGGCGTGGCCATCCCTGCTGGGAGGTGATTTCCAACTTTCTGTCTCTCTGTCTCTCCCTGTCTTTCTGGGGAGTGCATATGCCCTATGGCAAAAACCTCTCCAAATAAAGAAATAAATGAGAGCAGAGTTGAGGTGGAGTACACCAAGGAAAGATCACTAAAAACAGCTAAGCAAGAGCGTGTCCTTTTCTCTTGCTTTACACCTGCAGGTGAGTCCTTCCTGTGATTAATTCCTACTATATGTTTACATCCCGAAAGTAAAGAAGGAAATCAATCTCACCATCAATTTTCCCCTTTCTGTCTTTAAAAATGTAGCATTTATAGATACACAAATGTCAGAACAGTTCAACCAAGGTCCCATTTCTCTGGTTTCGTGGTAGCAGTGGCCTCTGTGGTATCGCCAGTGGTTCTGACAAGGTCTACACCTGCCTCCTAGGGAGAAACATATTTGTAATTCAGACCCTACAGAACCTCACAGACAGAGCCTCGTTGCTTCATACTTTCCCCTCTTACAAGAATAAGGCTAATATAAAGAATTATTCCCAGATCAGAATTCTGTCAATTTCAAATTACCTTGTATGTCCTGTAATTCTTGTAGAGTTTCAATGATATTCTGCTGGTTTTGGAGGACCTCTCGAACTTTTATATAGAACAAGACAACACCAGATGAGAACACGAATTGCATCTGCCTTTTGTGCTATTTCTAAAGTCATATAGATAATGGTCATATGCCAAAATTTATCAAAAGTTTCAGCGCAGTCCCTGTCCTTACTGGATTAGTTTTATCTCTGGCTAAACCAGTCTATTCAATTGTCAGTAAAGTCATGACGTATTTTTCTAAGCAAAAATACATCATGACTTTCCTGACACCCCAATATTATGTAGAAATCAGCATTTTCACAGACCCAACCTAAAGGACTCTTCAACAGTTCGTTTAACTGTTCACCTTAAGTAGGGCACTCATAAGCAAATAAAAAATACTTTAATACGAGGTCTCTATAAAATATTTTCATGAACATATACTATTTTTACAGTACAATTTAATGAACACAAAGAATCTTTCATATTATTACATGTTTTAAATTCCTCTCCTTAGAAACCATGAAGACATAATTTTTTATATATTTAAGTTCTCAGTGTCTCAGTGTCTCTCTTTGTCTTTCCTGTAAGGTACACACACTATAGCAAACATCTCTCTCAAAAAAAATAAATAAAAGAGCGACCAGCAGTTAGCGTAATGGCTATGTTGCTGGACTCCCATGTAGTCAACCACGGTTTGAGTCCTGGACCCGGTGGCTTAAACTCATACCAGGTGTATGTGCATGCGTGCCCAAAATCCCAATAGGAGAATGGAGGAGAAGGGATTGTGGCGTGGCCATCCCTCCTGGGAGGTGTGCGCTACAGAGTGTGTGTGCTCACCAGAGAGAGACAGAGAAACAAAGAGAAAGAAGAGAAAGAATTCTTCATGGGGCATAGTCACACCACATTTTTCTCCTCGCAGGATTTTGAGCACACATGCTCAATGTGTTTCGTAAGCCACGTGTTCAGACTCAAATCTTGCAGTTGGCCATGTGGATTCCAACACCTTAGCATCAGGCCGTGATGCCAGCCCATGTTCTTCTGTTTTTGTTCTATATGTTTTTTTTGTTTGTTTGTTTAATTTCCTGGGGCATATGCACTTGCCAGAGAAAGAGGGATAAAGCAACCTCCACGGTCACACTACAGTCTCTTCTCCATTTCTCCATCCTGTCAGGATTTGGGGCACACACACATATATACCTGCCATCTATATCAACCCTCCAGGGATGGGATACAGATAGTGATAGGCCTTGGAGGATCTGGCTCCTTTAATCACTGGGCCATGGGGCCAGCCCTATTTCTGTGCTCTTTGTACATGGTTTAATTTTGGCTTCTATGTTTTTCTCTATACATTCCAAGTAGGGTTCATAGTGTATTTACCATTGATCAACTGTATAATGCTTTACATGTGGCACATTCATTGATCAGCAGTATAATGCTTTACGTGTGGCACGCACTGAATAAATATGAGTAAACAAATGTGTGGATGAGCTAATTAATTAACAAGAGACTGTTTTGATAAACATGAAACTCAGGTTCAGAGGATACACGGGGAACTAGAAGAGGTAGAAGCCTTCAAAACTACCGTGTGTTAGGAAGCTCCTTATCTTTAATGCAATCAAACATTTTAATGTCACAATGAAAGAATTCACTAGCATTCTGCAAGTGTAGCTTGTCCCAGCTCTAACATTACCTTTATTTTGGCTAGACACTTGTTGAGCCTGCAGAAAACTTTCTGCTTTGTTTTGGAAAGAATCGATCCATTGGTTAAGGCTCTTCAACTTGCTCTCTGATGCCTGAACACTCTGAAAGTCTGAGAATGAAAGCTTAAAACATGCAGGGAATACATCCTCACTTATGAAACAGTAAGCTATTATACAGGGTAATTTTTATAGTTTTTTCTTAGTAAATTTCTTCATAAAATGCTTTAAAAACTATGAAAAGCTGGTTAAGTACATTTTATCTACTATTATTCCTAAAATCTATGCCTAAAACTGAAATACTGTCTCAAGTACTTATAAAGGTGAATATGTTTGTTTACAACAGTGGTTCAGTTCAATTAAAACAGACAGCAACAACAAAGTCCCTCAGACAAATCCTTTGGTATCATAACTGGTTGATTTAATGTATATAATTTCACTTTTTAAACAATTTTAGAATTTTGAGTTTCAAATTGATGTTGAAGCTATTAAGAAATGACTATATTTAAGTAGAACTTTATAAATAATTTTAATAATAATAAAAATGTTCCATTTATTCCATTTAGCCTGCTGTAGGCATGGATGACTTGAATAAATTATAAAATAAATTACTTTCTTTTCTAAAGGGAAGACAACTGCAAATTGATTTCATTATTAAGAAAGGTAAATTTCTTAATAAGATAATTTAAAACATAATAATAACCACTAGTTACTGTCAATATAATCTGCAGAAATTGCAAACATATATTCTCTGGAACAATGTGTAGTTATTGTGAGCTCACAAATTCATGTTCATCCATATGGTAATGTTTTCATTTTTTCATATTCTGTTTAGCATATCAACAGAACATTAATCAGAAAAGGTATCTGCAATCTGTTTAAAAAATATAATAACATGACAAGCCAACTATTCCAACTTTTCTCTGAACTAATCAAACTTACACTGATAACCAAAGAATCCACACAACATCAAGAGCAGCAGACTGAAGACCCCCAGGACCACTGGAATTATTCCATGTAGAGAAAAGGAAAAAGAAGAAGCTGAGAAACAGAAAGAATGATCATCAGAAATACGTTTTCCTGTTTTTTTGAAAGATTAATATCATTTCTTATTTAATATTATCCTCACACTACCCTGAATTTTGTGAAAAACAATGGCCAATGTGTGAATTTCTATAAACTGGTAGACTGACTGAAAGGAAAATAAACTAAGAGGCTGGGCAGATGGCAAGCCGGTGGCGTGGTGGTTAAGGCAGCTGGATTCCACATGGTTAACTCTGCGGTTCAAGTCTGGATCTGAAGGCATGTAGACCTGGAAGCCTGAAAAATATGCCAGATGCTGTGCATATGTGCCCCAAATACTGAGAAAACAAAGGAGAAGGGATTGTGACATGTCCATGCCCCGTGAAGGGCATTTTCTCTCTCTCTCTTTCTGTCTCTCTCTCTCTCTGGTGAGCACACTCACCCTACAGCAGAATAAAAAAAAAAAAATTTAAAAGAAGAGAAATAAAGGATGTGCAGGAAAGAGTTAACATAGTAGACCTAGGGGCAGCTGGTGGCATAGTGGTTAAGGTGCTGGACTCCTACATGGCTGACTGCTGTTTGAGTACCAGATCTGAAGGCTTGAAACTCACACTGTGCATATGTGCATGAATGTCCAAAATCCCAAGAGGAGAATGGAAGAGAAGGGACTGCGGCATGGCCTTCCCCACTATGGGGTGATTTCTTGCTTTTTATCTTCATGTCTCTCTGTGGAGTGTGTGTGTCCTATAGCAAAAAATCTTTTTATAAACAAAACAAAACAAAAACAAAAGCAGAAACAAAAACAAAAAACAAAAACATAGCAGACCTCACTCCTCTCCTTTGAAAAACCTTACAAGGTTGGCCTTGACAGGCATCTAGAAACTAGATTTTTGGGAAGGTTCCTGACACTGCTAACTGCTTAGAGTGTTTAATTATGCCTAAACTCTTCATACAATCCATGTAGTTTATGCTGTATGTTTACTTTTCTTCTGTTAAGTCTGTATTTTTACATGCCAACCAGAAGTTGCCAATGTGATCAGCACCCAATAAAGACACTGTCTGCTGAGTCCTTAATGAATTTCCTTGGTCGGCAATATGTTACAAGTGCTTTTGCAACTTGTTGCAGAGGAAATTAGTGTTTTCTTTGGGAGAAGACCATGGAAACTTGTACATATATTGTACATGTATTGTGTTATTAAGTATCCTTAATTACCAGATAGGAATTTTCAAATCAATTTACATTAGCCCCATGAATAGAAGTAAACAGAAAAATGTTTAATGGCTTTAAATATTGTTATTAAAATAGAATTTCTAATCTGGACTTGATGATTACAAGCATATTCTCCTATAAAAAAATTACTTTGAATCCTTGGAAATATTTTAACCAGATGATATTTATTTACTTTAAGGTACAACAGTATCTATAATTTTATTAAATTCCATCAAAAAGTATCTTTATATCTAAAAACTATACTTTCAAATATCATTGTTTTGATTTTTATTCTTCTCAGCGGGCACATGCACTTCCCAGAGAGAAATAAGGGAAAAAAGAGAAAGTGAGAGGGAGAAAGCACCCCTAAAGGAACATGGTCACACCAAAATTCCTTCATGCCAGGTGTGTTTCTTAGGCTACCTGAGCTGGAATTTAAATGTAGTTGGTCATGTGGGATTCAGGTCTCTTTACCGCCAGGCAATTAGCAAGCCCTAGATTCTTTTTGTTGGTATATTTATTTCCTCTAAAATAAATTTCTATATTATACTACAAAAAAGTTTCTTGTATGATAGAAGAATTACATTTTTAACACATATTTTTAAATTTTAATTTCTATACATGGCTAAAACTTGAAAAGTGAATTTT